ACTTCAGCGATCTTCTCAGCTGATATTATCTACTCCTCCTAGACGTTCATCCAACCCTCTCGCGCTTTGACATACTTCAACGTACTTCGTCCAACTTCCCCGAGTCCTCGGCCATCCTCTTCCTCCTTCGACTAACTCCGCCTAACATCGCCGCACTTCTGCTCCCATTGTCCCTAGCTAGCCTAACTCCGTCTAACTTCGCCGTACTTCTGCTCCCATTGTCCCTACTTAGCCTAACTCTGTCCCCTACTTAGCCTAACTCTGTCTAACTTCGCCGTACTTCTGCTCCCATTGTCCCTACTTAGCCTAACTCCGTATAACTTTGCCGTACTTGGTCTCAGAAGTCCTGAGTTACGTGTAGAGTAAAGAGGTTAAGGCGTGATGGGGTTTTGATGGTCAAAGGAGGGTCATTGTTGGTGGAGTAATCGAGGTGTCACGACGTAGTTCGTGACAGCGGGGTCTAATCCCCAATGGGTAGGCAAGGTGACTGAGATGGGGCTGTAACACAATACTTGTCTCTGGCTCATAGAGCTTGAGGAGTATATAGAGGGTGACAAGGGACTGAGGGTACTGAGAGAACTGAGAGAACTGCAAGATGTCAGGCTGGATCTGACTGGACTGACAAGTTGAGAATGAGATTCAACATGAGATTCATAGGTGGGGAACAACCTGTTTGGAGGGGGTTTATATCCACAGCAAAACTGGCTGAACTGCAAAACTACAACAATAAGTTATGGAAGAACTGCTAAACTTATTTGCAATCCTCTTCAAGAGAATTGGCAATCCTGACAAGTGAAACTAAGGAACAATAGGCAAAGGACCCCTGGGTCCAGGCGTAACTGTTCCAAGTTCATGGATGTAACAAGGAACAATAGACGGAGGACACAGGAGTCCAGGGGTAAGTGTTTGAGGTACGTGAACACAAAGGAGAACAATAGATGAAGGGCACAGGGGTTCAGGGGTAGGTGTTTCATGTGTGGGAGTGTAAGAGATAACAATAGGATTGTTGATGGAGATCAAGAACAATGAAGCTAAGCCAAAGGGGGTCGGGGGTAAGTGTTCCAGATGTGTTTCAAGTATGGGAACAAGTGAAAAGACTATCTTGGGTGGCAACTAGGTAATGTATGACAGACAGGTGAGAACCCGCTTTTGAGCAAACCCAGTGGGGAAATCTCAAAAAGAGAAAACCCGTCCCTACCTAATTACAGCACTGCCTCCAAATCCTGACTTTCTCTATCCTATTCCATCAAGTTCAATGGAACTGCATCGAGTCGTTGTTACCCTGTAACATGCGCGATCCGCGACATTGACTTGATACAAGCGTCAAACCTCAGCCCACGTCTTTGAAGTCGTAGGGCAATTAATGTAGCAAGATTGCATGACTTTGAAGTCGCTTCAAGGAAGCAAATCAAGGAACCAGAGCACACGAGTATCTGCTGAGAACTTGCATCCTGATTCTTCAGCTTCCAGCCCGAGTCGGTTAAACTTCTGCAGGTGTTGTGTCATCTCCGTATCTGTAGAATTCAACTTGAGTATGAGCATTTGTAGCTTGTGTTTGACATCCGTACAATGTTTGGGTGTCTGAGGTTGCATATCGGTTGCAAGGAATGTCCACATTTTGTATGCGGATCGAATGTGTCACAAGGTTGTTTCTTCGTTAACTTCCTAGGACCGACGGCCAATAACTTCGTGGGCTTTGACCTTTAATAACCTCGTTGTTTGAGATATGAAATAGGTGACAATAACTTCTGGGTGTAATAACTTCGTACTTTACTAACTTCTATCACTAAGACAACAACCAGAGATCGTCAAAGATCTCTGGGGACTTCGGCCCTTAAGTACTTCGTCCTTCCCTAACTTCTTCAACGCAGAGCTTCGTTCAACCCGAAGTCCCGAGCTTTGTACCTCCCTAACTTCGTACCTCCCTAACCTCGTATCTCCCTAACCTCGTATCTCCCTAACCTCGTATCTCCCTAACCTCGTATCTCCCTAACTTCCCACATGACTAACTTCGTCCTCGACGAAGTTAGCCTCCTAATACCCTTGTGGGTGGTGAAGTTCATGAGAACTGGATCGTTGATGGCGAACTGATGTCCAAAGGAGCCTCGTTGATGGAAAAAGATGATGTCATGCGGTGCCGCGTGACAGTATGGATCGTAGATCAGTAAGCAAACTGTGTTTGACTTTGCTCATGATCACACCTTGAGTTTGAAGTTTGCGTTTACGCCACCATTCCCAGCGCTCTTCATCATCTGAATCGAGTGAGGTGTGGGAGATAGTCTTCTTGGCTGTAGGTATGTGTCAAGGATAATATCCACCCTGGGACAGTGTCATGAGGACCAACTAACCAGCATTGGCTGAATATAACAGTGCCCAACGGAACAGTGATCTTAACCTGATTTGGGAGGAGGCTGCTGTGCACAAGGCATCAAGCCCAGTGCTAAAACAAGCCTACTATAAGAACTATAGCATGAATGGCTTGCACAGACTCATGTACAAGTGGAACCGGAGTGCCCGGAGAAAACCCCTTGGTCGGCATGGGAATTGAACCCATGACCACATTACACTGATAGTTCCCATTCCACCATCAATGACTAGCCAGTTTAACCACTTAGCCGAGGTGGACATACTGCGACAAAAAGGCCTATTAATCGGTGGTTAACCTTACCGCCGATCCCTGGTTAAATACCCTTTCCCAACTTTCACTCAACTTGTCACACGCTTTGTGACAGACAGGGGACAAAGGACAAGGTGACTAGGACTAGGAATGACCAGGAAGGGATGAACTAAATTGATGATATGTCTAGTGCCACTCATACAATGATGTGCACTGGCTATGATCAAGACTGAGTCCAACAAGGAATGGGGCTGTGACCCAATGAGGTCTCTGGTGTCACGAACTACGTCGCGACACCTCGATTACTCCACCAACAATGACCCTCCTTTGGCCATCAAAACCCCATCACGCCTTAACCTCTTTACTCTACACGTAACTCAGGACTTCTGACACCAAGTACGGTGAAGTTAGACGGAGTTAGGCTAAGTAGGAACAATGGGAGCAGAAGTACGGCGAAGTTAGACGGAGTTAGGCTAAGTAGGGACAATGGGAGCAGAAGTGCGGCGATGTTAGGCGGAGTTAGTCTAAGTAGGGACAATGGGAGCAGAAGTACGGCGAAGTTAGACGGAGTTAGGCTAAGTAGGGACAATGGGAGCAGAAGTGCGGCGATGTTAGGCGGAATTAGTCGAAGGAGGAAGAGGATGGCCGAGGGCTCGGGGAAGTTGGACGAAGTGCGTTGAAGTACGTCAAAGCGCGAGAGGGTTGGATGAACGTCTAGGAGGAGTAGATAATATTAGCTGAGAAGATCGCTGAAGTTCTTCAGCGATCCTTGATTGTTGTCAGTAGAGAAAGACAGATAGAGATAGCTATATACAATTCGAGATACATCGCCATCAGTAGAACAAAACCCCAGTTAGAGTAACTACGCCGAAGTACGCCGTAGTTACACTCCTTTCGACGTCTGCGCCCTCTCGGTTGGGTGAGACTTCAACTCAGGAGCATCAAGTTAGCCGAGGTTCGTCGACCGTCGGTCTGCCAGAAGATAGTTGTTCGACGGCCGTGACATCTGGCTTGTCTGACAAGACTAGAGGGAACTGGACTGGACTGGACTGGACTGGACTCGGGAAGGGTGACAGAGGAAATGATGTATGATCGAGAACTGAGGATGGAAGTCCTCAGAAGCCATGTTTATATAGACTACAAAACTGATTTGCCACCCAATATTTGCCACCCAAGTTTGCAGGCAAGTGACACAACACTCTATTGTTCTCATCCAATTCGGATTGGGGTCTTGACTGAGAACAATAGACTTTGGCGCACAAACAATAAGCTAAGAGTCACTACGGTGCGCAAATATATTTCAGGTACACCATCCGAATCACCTAACTCAGATCTTATCGGTGCTTATATCCATTTACCTATTGTTGTTCTGCGTGGGAATACTCGGTTTGAGTTCTAATGATAGAACTGGGCTCTCATGCCTTCCAGGCATGAGTCAGAAGGAAACAAGGAACTGGAATAGCTGAGGTCTCATACCTTCACGGCATGAGGCCAGAAGAACAAGAGGATCAGGTACTACGGTTTGGGGTGCAAGAGTGAGATTTGCATGTCACACCTTCTAGGCATGAGTGGAGAGAGGGAACAAGGAAGTGACATCATCTGCATCTCATGCCTTCCAGGCATGGGACCAGGGAGAAAACAGGGTCGTGACGGATGTGTTGACACGTGTGAAGATTTTGGATGTGGCACTTGCCACTTGGTTCATGACAGTCTCTCCTTAGAGGACTCCTAAACCGTAGAAACCCCCGTACCGTAAAATATGGCGTAGCTGTCCCGTACTATGGAACCCCGATCATGTATATAAGCTGGGTCTGAGGGGGATCTCTTCCTCCATTGTCTTTCTTCTCCCATCCTCTTTCTTCATTGTCTTTCTTCTCACTTTTTCTTCTCCCTCCTTCTTCTCCTCCTTTTTCCTCCATCCTCTCTCAGACCCTCTTTGGTTCCCTTGATAGACTCTTTACTGACCATTACTGACCTTTAATCCATTGTTGACTAGTATTATCCACATCACAGAGTTCCGATTCAGTATCCAGCCCTACGGGTAGGTTACATTTATTGATTTGTGGTGATCCTCACAAGCAGGGTCATTGCACTTTTCTCTTTGTTTGTTTGTTCATGTCTTTATGCATTACTATATTGTTTGATCTCAACTGCAGCAAGGTGTCAGTAGGTCCTTGACAAGGTTTCCTCTCAGACTTCATGCATACCTGGGATTCCTCAAGACCCTCATCCTGGTCTTCACCTACTCATTCATTGAATTCCCTCTCTCCAATATGTATCTAAGCAGACCCTTATGCTGCTTGATGGGGTAAATTCCGTTCCTGGGCCAATATGAGTGTCTGGTTCACCAAGTCTGAAAAATTGAAGTCACCAGCCAATGCTTTCAAGCAGGATATCTCGTCCTAGGTACTTTGTTCGGACCAAGATCCATCTTCATCAACAAATTTATTGAGTGAAGACACCATTTGACGGACATCTTCCCACAAGATGGTCTTCCCATCTCCCTCAGTGTATGCCCTTGCAGAGCTGTATCCTTGGGCCGTTTGGTTTTCCAGTAAACTCCGTATAACGGCTGTAAGTCTGACGTAGGAGCATGCGGCATTGTATGCGACAGAATGTATGCAAGGGTCTCAATGCAGCTTTTCTCTGAAGGCTCTATGATGATTGTGTGTTGACTGGTCTCCTCATCTATTCCAATGGTTTTCAGCATCTGCATCTGATTTGGAAAGTTTTCTTTTCCTGTCACTTTTGCGCGAGTGAAAGCCAACTGTCACATCAGCTCCTAATCATTCATATATGTTCTTTACGTGTAAGAGTTTGACCGCCCATGTCATCTTCTGCCTCTTGCTGGGCAAGCCTATATGAGCTCAATGATGGCGCCCCAAGGATCAGGATTTATGGATGGATATCTTGACTGCACGTACAGTAGTTTCACATGACAGCATGTCTCCCTTCTGTGTATCATAAACCGTCTTGTGGCGAGCTTTGAGATAAACTAGACAGGATTGGGGAGCGCCTGTCCTGTCGTGGTATTTCAAAGTGTAATGATGAAGGTGCCTTCCCGGCTCCTCTGAGGGACGTTCTTTTTGTAAGTCAATGAAAAACTGTTTAGAAAGATCGGGAAGCAATCTGTCAGGTAATCGTGTGGGATGATCGGCCGTTTCCTTGTGACTCTCACTCTCCGGGGATGGAGAAGATGCTCGTGTCCGGAAGGCGGCTAGGAAGCCTGAGAAGATGCTCATGATGACTTTGACAATGTGCGGAACTTGTCACAATTATCAAATTGGTATGATTTGGAAACGGATTGGTATTAGATGTTCTCAGTGATAGAGCAGCTCATTTTCTGCCATATATAGCTTTCAGCTTACTCTGGGTAACAAGGGCAGGGGCAGGGGAGCAGAGGCAAGAGAGACCAGGTCAGGTCTTTCCGTCTCCTTTCAAATGGGTTTTCTACCCATTTTACGCGCCCCCTGAGGGGTTCGTGTAGAAGCTGTGGGGTCGCATCCCTGGAGATCTGCTTGGCCGGTTGAATCGGACAGGAAGGGAGAGGAGGGGGAGGGGCGATTCGACGTGAGAAAGTAGAGTAGTACATACGAGAAACTCGAGGAAAGATCTCTTCTCACGATTCTCAAAGTAAATCTCCCTTCCCTTCCCTTCTCTCCCTTCCACTGCCTTCAAGATGACTATAATCGCCATGTCCGAGTCCTCCCGACTTGCACCGCTTCCGTCCTCAACCAAGTGAAGTGAGAAGGAAGAGTGTGAAAGAACCGAATCTTTCACTTGCTAGGTTTCGAGAAGCAAATCTCAGCAGTAGTTGTCTCTCTCCCTATCGATCGACGAAATGACATGATTCACTTTTCCATATCTGTCTTTACTCGTTGACTCTCACGGATGCGTAAGAGCATGTCATGAGATGGAGTAGAGACATGTTCGTTGACTTGAATGATGATACATAACGTAAAGATAGATGATAAGAGTGAACAATTGATCAATAAGGAGTTTTGTAGAATCCGTATGGGAAAGAACGACCGTAAGGGTTGAGTTTCCCCACTGGTCGTCAGCTTTCTTCAAGTCTTTTTGAGAGGTGGAAAGAGTAGAAGGCAACTGACCGAATCCTCCTAGTTCAGGTTTGAGAGGCATCTGAACGTTAGCATGTGTCAGATAGAATTGTTTTTGATGGAACGAGGTCATTCCAAATCTCTTCATGATCTCCTCACACTCCCAAAACCGTTTGCAGGAGATACATTGAGGAAAGTATTAAACATTTCTTCAAGCAATGAGCCGACACTATTTGTAAAGCAAGCTCAAAAGACGAGATGACGTTTGGAATTTCGGGATCGATGGGATGCGAACAAAGTGTGAAGATCGTAGTAGAAGGAATGGACCGTCAAGATCTTCCTCCCTTTTCGAGCCGAAGAGAGATGAGAGATGATGAATGGATTAAGATAGTGGCCAATAGAGTGTATGGACGAAATTGAAACTCACCGGTCCATACTTTGGCCAACCATAATTGAACATCTGTCCACCTACACCACCAAAAGTACCAGTACCTCTACCCTCTCTCATCGCTACCATAGCCGGTACTTCCCCCCATTGACCCGGTTGAGGTGGTTCGAGAGGTACGTGACCCCAATAACCTGCTGATGGACCTCCAGAGGAAAGGGCGAATTGAGGTCCTGAGAAGTTTCCGGGAAGTGGAACGAAGGATGCTCCGGGGTAAGTTGAGAAGAGGGGATGAACTTGGAATGCCATATTTGGTATTTTCCTTCAATTTTCTTATCTTCCCTATCAATTTCTTAGCCTCCGAGACTTGTAGGATGAGTTTGGTACTCCGAAGTGTTCTGCTGTATAGCTATGGATATGGGTATATATGGTCACAATTTCGAAGGAGTCGTTTGATTGAGAGAGGATTGTTGGCGTGAGGATGGGAACAGTAGGAAGATGAAGAGGAAAGAAGTTGAACACGCACGGAACACCACTCGATCGTGATACCTGCGGTCGATTGGTGTGTGACGGGATCGAGTGTCGAGTGCCGAGTGCCGATAATGAAGATGGAGGTTTATAAGAAAGAGATGGGTAGAGCGACTATGACGATGGGAGGTATGAGAAGTGGAAGGAACAAAGGACAAAGGAGAGAAGATAGACGTACGCAGCTTGAAATCTAAATCCAGGGTATTCCTTTGAACGTTTCTCTTTCGATATGCTTCTCCCGCTCCTTCTTGCCCAACTTCCCTATCGGGTCAAGAGGTTGATAATCATGCATTCGTCATATACGTTAGTTACATTACGAGTACTCTCCTTTGCCGGACATTGATATTAATGATCACATTTCTCCTTCCTTCTGACAACAATTCCTACTTTCCACTCTCATTCTCAAACGTCCGAAGCCATGATCCTTCCGTTTGTCTTCCTCATGTCCTGACTCCAGCACTTCCCTAACTCACCCACGTCTCTCTTCCTTCCGCTCTGTATCTAGATCTGCACTCATTCTCAGCTCAGAATACGCATTCCTCTGCCGATCCTTCTTCTCGTTTCTCATTGATCACCGTCTCCCTAGACAATCTTCCCTCCCTCGAGATCCGTAGATGGAGATTGGAGCAGAGTTGGCGAAGGGGACGCCGTTTAAAAGTATCGAGGGGCTCCGTATCCGTACATTTGTCTCTGAGGACCGCCTAGGAACGTGGGATTGGCCATGTGATCAATGGGTTGATTACCCCAAGCAACGCCGGATTGTGCTCCGTAAGTGTACGGGTGCATCCCCTGTCGTGAGCGACTTTCCCTGACATCTTTACCCCCAAGCTTTCCTCGACGCAGCAACATCTCATATAGATCGTGTCTGGACATCCGGTGGAAACATCAATCTTCACTCTCGAGACGTACCCCTTGCGAAGATGCGCAGGGACTTGAAGTCTGGATGCTGACGGTGCTGGGGCAAAAACATCGTTTGTAAGATTGTAAATTCGAGGGAAGACATAAGCCAAAGAAAGGGAAGTGTCAAGAGAGTTAAGAGCTGAGGAGTTGAGGGTAGATAGCAGAGAGAGAGGAACCGAGACTTACTGGAGCAGCTTGTGCTTCCCCAATTCCTCCCATTCCTCCTCCCATAGGTATTTGACCCATCTGCAAACCCATGTTCGAGCCCAGAGCCCCCGGCATCCCCATGGCTCCATAGCCAGGTTGAGCCATCCCCAAACCTGGCATACCCATCTGACCTGGACCCATACCTCCCATACCGCCCATACCACCCATCCCCATGCCTCCCATTTGACCCATACCTCCCATTCCCATGCCTCCCATCTGACCCATCTGACCCATACCACCCATACCGCCCATCTGTCCCATACCGCCCATACCTCCCATCTGACCCATGGGATTCATCTGACCTTGCATGCCCGGACCCATCTGACCTTGCATTCCGTTCATTCCTTGTTGGTAAGCGCCATACGGTTCTGACTTGTCAGCTTGAGAATGCAAAATCTCTCGCAGCTTGATCTGAACCAAGATCAGACGGATAAGAAAGGGGCAAGTGATCAAATGGTATCCCCACTTGGACAAGGTGACAGAGAATGAGAGTGAAGTACGAGGAACGTTGGAGTTACATGCCAAAAAGGGAGGGTTTCAAGAAAATGACAAGGATAATGTGAATTCATGAAGCAGCGACGAACGCACGGTAGGGAATGGAAGAATGATGGATAGATTCCGAACCTGATTCCTCGGAATCTTCGTCGGTCGTTAAGCCTGGAGACCTACCCTGGTAATGTGCCCCACCTGAACCTGGGTTGTAGTGCTGGAAGTCAGTGAAGTTCGGAGATTCATTTTATATCCAAAGACATGTAAAGTCTTCAGCACCCAACACATCCTTGACCCTCTTCGAATCGTGAGACTCTGTAATGAAGTGTTCTGAAGGTCGGACGAGTGAGTGAAAAGATGTCGAGTCGAGTGATGAATTTGCTTGACTCTGTGGTGAATGCAAGGAAAAGACGGAAAACCCCACCCGGTCAAATAACCATTTAGCAGTAGCAGCTGCGAACTGTGCCGCTGTGGCTCGGTCCGTTCTTGAGGAATTAGGAACTATAGCGTCCCATAATCGGAATACTAATAATCAACATCTCCCTTCATGAATGACTTGATAAGATGCTTTGACTCACGTTCAGCAACAGCCAAACCTACGAGTCGTTCCCGATTTTGTTCAGTGGGGTTACTATGATAGGCAGAATAATGATCCCTATCCCAGATTCTTCCTATCAGCCAAATGTTCCGATTATAAGACAAGTCAAAAGAGGGTTAACTTACAAGAAAGCTTGATAAGCCGCTGCACCTCCTAATTGCTTGTTATTGGATTCTTGGCCCAAATTCTGGCTGTATACTTTGTAATGAGCCTCTCGAGCGGCGTGTTCGGAGAGATGACGATTGTTGAAGAAATTTGTGACGGATGAGATCTGTCATGAGTCCTCAGTTTGGATCTTACCCTTTTCTTCATACTTCAAGAAACTTGTAAGGGTTTCTAAAAGACTATATGATAAGGTGAAAGAGACTTGAACAAACAGAAAGTACAAGGGTATCAGAGGAGCATTTCCCCGTGAGGGATAGAAAGATATGCCAGTGAAGGTTAAGGCGATTTGGTGATAAGAAGGACAACTTACAATCTCATCAAACATATTTCTATCGAGGTTTCGTCCACCATACTGTGCCGTGGCCTGACGTCATCATAACACTCTATCATCAGATTCAAGAGTACTCACAAAGTCCCAAGCACCCCAATTAGCTTCAGGTTTATATGTCAAAACGGGGAGTTGATAATCGTATCCCTTTCCCGTCAGCCCTTCTCTTTCTCTTTCCTCTCATATCCTCTGCCTCCTGGTGATGCCTAGGATTTCCGTCGTTCCCAGTCCGAGAAGGTCGTAGATCGATTCTGACGATACGAAGAGAAGCTTTCAGATGAAAAGCTGTGCAGGGGAGTCGGGTGGCAAATTCTTCTCTCATGTCTCACACGAGTGTGGTGAGAGATGAGTCAAGGATTGATCACTTCAAATCTCTGCAGGTGAAAGAATGGTAGGGTAGAGTGTAGATGAGAGTCGATGAAGACGTTGTCGGAAAGATGAGGATGGAAAAAAGAACTTACCAATTGACGATAAGCATTACCATACCCTTGATTCATTTGTCCTTGCATCCCATTCATTCCTCCCATCCCACCCATTCCTCCCATTCCTCCCATTTGTCCCATTTGTCCCATTCCACCCATTTGACCCATCTGATTCATCTGACCCATACCAGGTTGCATCATCCCTTGCATACCAGGTTGCATCCCCATTCCCATTCCCATACCAGGTTGCATACCTCCCATCCCTTGCATCATATAAGGGTTCATTTGAGGTTGAGGGTACGGTTGTTGTTGTTGCTGATACTGCTGTTGAGGTTGTTGCTGTTGATCCAACTGAGATAAAGGTCGTGGTCGATTAGGATAAGGAGTTGAATTCCTCTGTCTTGGAGAACGTTGGGCGTAGTAAGATGTACGTTGCATATGACGATCTCGTGGGGTTGAAAGTGAAAGGAGGGGGATTATGGCTATGTATATGGGGTATTTTAGGTATGTTCTTCTTCTTTGATTACGTCGTTTAGGTGATCGTCAACGTCGTTTGAATGAGAAAGTGGTTACCAAGATTATGGAAAGGGAGAAGGTATAAGGAGGGTTTATTGTAAAGTAAGTGTGATGGTGATGATGGTGCAACGTGGAAAGAATCACACGATGGGGGGTCCTTTCCTCGCCCTTTTTCTTCTTTCGTCTGGCCTCCTTAGCCTAGACCCTCTGTCTCTCTATCCACCAAGTGGATACTCTCCCACTGTACTGCCACCTCGCTCCCTATCGTTCTGTTCTTGGCCAGTCTTTTGTTTCTGATGATGATGAAGATAGGTACGATCAGACATCAAAATATCCTACGAATGTGGCGGACAATGGGTGGGTGATACAGTATGAGGCAGTGCCACATTCCTTCTCTCCTGCCACAAGGAGTTTTCTCCTACGAACGCTGTGACTTTTCATACGACTTGTTCCCACACCTGGTCAACGAGAACATGATTTCAAAGTGCATGTTCAACTCTGTTAGAAAGACTAGTACTACTACTAGCGAATAACGATACTCCTCTTGGAGGTCGAGGGATGGGCATATGTAATACCATCTCTTCACCCCCTTTCCTCATCCCTACCCCTGGACCCACCGTCAGCGGTCTCGGGACTGGCATGGTGATGGGTACTTCTTGTTTCATCTCAACCTCCGATCTTTCCACCCGTCCAGCATTCGATCTCTCAAGTGAAGCGTATGGTGGAGTCATTCGAGGTGGTGTATTGGGTGAGTTGTCAATTTGACCTCCATAGGCAGGACCATGAGTAAGAGGATGTACGATATTTGGGGTTTGTACGAATGGAGCCTGAGGAGGATAACCATTGTTTGGGGGATATGGAGAAGGAATATATTGAGTAGGTGAATAAGATGTAAAATTCGTATATCCCGTCTGAGGTTGAGCTACAGACCAAGTATAAGCCATAGAACCGCTTATGGGTGGATTAGAATAATGTGAATTATTTAAAGAATTCCAACTTTGATCAGAACTTGAAAAAGCTGATGAATGCCAAGAAGGTTGTCCAGCACTCCAAGAAGGATGTGATACGTCTGATGGATGAGCAACATGAGTCGGTCGACGGAGAACACGTGTTTGTTGTTGTACTTCCTTCTGATTTCCCGAAGATTTATTCAAGGTTTTCGAAATGGGTAATTGAGTATGAGGTGTGATACGAGTAGATGGTGATGATGTGGTATATGAATATGAAGGAATTTGATTAGAAAGTGGAGATGATAATGAATAATGTGGATGAGGTCCAGGTGGAAGAGGAGAAGGAAATTTAAATGTTATTGTACTTGCTGGAGAATCTCTTTTCCCTTGGATATTAATATCCTCATTATTGAAATAAGAGTTTGTTTGAGAGGATGGATCGTTTGTTTGAAAATGTACTTTCATAGGATTATCTGATGTTTGTGGTGATAGTATACTTTTTGGTTTCTTTGATTTCTTCACTAATTTCTTTGATTTTCTTGATGATGATGAATGTATACTTTCAGCACGTTGAGTTGTGGTTGTGTATTTCAATTCGGATAGATAACCATTATCGTTTTTCTTTACGTTTTCTTGTGAAGTTCCCGGATTTGAGTGGGTATGTATGGTCAGTGTAGGTTTGTTGTTTGAATTGTTTGAACGGGATTTTTGGTCAGGTAGGGTTGACGAAGTGGTCGAAGTTAACCTTGTGTCGAGTTCTTTCGTCAAAGTGATAGGGGGAGATGATGAAGAAGGCAAGTTATGAAGAGTTGTAGAAGGATTCAAATTGGTTGATGAAGTTGAATCCGCTACGATTCCTCTTGAAGCAATAGGAATCCCAGTCGAACTTGATGAGTTCGTAAGAATCCCAGATTTTATACCATTTGGTATAGTCGATAAGTTTGGTAGGGCTTTAGAGTCGGTAGAAGGTGAAGATTTATTTTTCTTCTTTCTTTCTTTTCCTGATTTAGATAAAAAACAAGGGAAAAGAGTACGTGTTGGACCTCTCCAGAGAACGTAAAGACATAATAATGTGATGAAACCTAATACACCACCTAAGATAGGGTAGAAGAGATCTGAGGTAAGCATTCATTTCCGATTATCCTCTTCTCACAAAAGGCGGAGAACGATTACTGGCATCTTCAAGGTACAAAGAAGAGGATAGGAGGGAAGATATTTAAGAAAGACTCACTCTTGTGATTGAAAAACCAATCGTTTTGACCATTATCATCCACTGCATCCCTCTTGGGAATCTTCATTTCTTCTTCTATCCACCTGATAAGCTCTTTCAGGCAATATCACTAAATTTCAATTGTGTTTCCCAAGTTGAAGTCCAATGTTCTCAGGTGATTTGTCAATTGACAAATGGTGCTCAACTACTGTTGATTGGCTATTCAGATTTCTTGCCTTTTTTCAACTTGTATCAATCGTTTTGTCGGATCATACACTCTCACGATCGAGCGTAGTCCACAGTCGTGGATATTATCGAGTGAATCTCTTGAAAGTGAATGGAAATCGTTCTTGTGGAATTGTGCAATGTTCACTATCAATAGTGCCGGGTTGAAAATATCATCAGGTGAGTTCGTTTCTCGTTGGATGTGAGCTCGGTATCTGGGAATAATGCAATGTTGCGACTTGTGATGTTACAGTACGACTTGAAGTGTCGGAGTGTCGAAGTGATGAATTTGAACTTTGGTATCTAAGTCCGAGATCTCATATGATAAATCTGAACCTGCTGTATTCGCCGACTTGTTTCAATAACCAATTTCAAAGATGTGGTCGAATATACCGTAGAGAGTAAGATTGACGAGGTTCGATATATTCTCCACAGGTGGAGAAGGAGGAAGAATGATTGATTACGGATCTTTGATTCTAGTACCAGATGAATGTTTTCCACATATGAGATGAGAGTGATAGAAGGATGAATATCATCAAATCTTGTCTAGCAACCAATTATATATAGTCGGATTATTCATGTACGAGTCTGTGGATATCGGATATTATAATGATCGGGTAGTTGTGTATTTGGAATCGGTCGGATGGTTGATTATTTGGCTTGGTCGGATAGTTGGACAGTTGAATAGTTTTTAGTTGAATAGTCCAATTAGTCGGATGGATGGATAGTTGAATGTTTGACCAGTTGGAACTTTGAAAAGGTCAATTGATACGTATATGATTCAGTGAATAGTGAACAGTGGTTTCAACGGGTCCTTGGAGTGAACACCAACAAAAAAAACCCTTGGTACCATCCCTCTCCATGTTTCGACTCCCCAGATTCACCTCCTTTCTTCTCACGATCTACGGAAAGGAAGTTGTTGGAGGGGAATTCGAAACAATTTCAAAGGTCCTACCTTTATTTTCTTTGTAACAAATATCGTTTCGTATATCTGAGCTTCAGTAGTCAAGTTTACAGTAGAAAACACCCGAAGAACCCATCAGTCATTTTACGTTATGCAGAAAACCCCAAAGGAAGAAAAGAAAGAGAAAAGGGAAAAAAAGGAAAAAAAGGTCGTATGCATAAGATGCCTCACGATGGTTAAACGTAATATCTATCATCATTTCCTCTATCCTTCCTCATCACCACCACCAAAGTTAGCCGCTACATGTTGACGCTACACACCTCGTAACGTCCAAATGTCCAAACTTCGTAGCCAGATCTTGACGAGTAACAAAAATTACTCAGGTTTTTTTAACACCTAGCATGCCATTGTGAATCCAACATTTCCTGTACCAACTTATCCCAACTCATACCCCTCAACCTTTCCGTCGTATCCACTCCTTCTTTCTGAGCAGCCAATACCACGCCCGCCGCCACTCTAGCGGAAACTTCTCTGATCCTATCTAAACGTGGATACAACAATTCATCCGATTCTTCATCCGGAGTCATAGCCTCGCTCAAAGCAATAGCGGAAGCGGTGATCATTCCATCTGTAACATGTTTCGCTCCTGCCATCAAAGCACCAAATCCTATACCTGGGAAAACTAGGAAATTATTTCCTTGTGCCGCTTCTCGAAGTTTGCCTTGGTAAACTATTGGAGAATAAGGTGAACCTGAAGCGAAAAGAACTTTTCCGTTGGTCCATTCCAAAGCGTCTGAAAAAGCGAGTTCACATTTCGAAGTAGGGTTTGAAAGTGGGAAAATGATAGGAGCTTTGTTCAATTCGGCCATTCGACGTACGACAGGTTGTTCGAATGCACCGAAAGTTGTCGACAATCCTACAAGTGCAGTAGGTTTGACATATTCTATAACGTCGGATAAAGTTTTGTATTCTTTTCCTTCAGTGTCGTAACGAATGAAATACTTTTTATGCCCGGCAATCTTGTCCGTGACTACATCAGTCCGAGTAGAAGTGATCAAACCTTTGGTGTCGATCAACCAGAAACGTTCTTTGGCTTCTTGTTCCGATAGACCTTCCATGAGGAAAAAGTTCATCATTTCTTTGGCGACACCGACAGCGGCTGAACCTCCACCGAGGAAGACGACTTTGTGGTCTTTCAGAGGTAGACCAGAGAGAGCGGAAGCTTTGCGAGCAGCAGCGAGAAATCCGGCTAGGATGACAGCTCCGGTTCCCTGAATGTCGTCGTTGAACATTCGGTATTTCTTTTGGTACTTTTCAAGGAATAGGAAAGCGGCTTCGGAGTAGAAGTCTTCGTGTTGGATCACGGTAGTAGGGAAGAGAGTGGAGACGGTGGCCATGAAGGTGTCCATGAAAGATTCAGCTTCGGCGAGGGAGGCACGGGGACGTTTGAGACCAATGTACAGGGGGTCGTCGAGGAGGGTTTGGTTGTTTGTTCCCATACTGGTCGTCAGCGGGCCCGGAGAGTGAGAAATCAAGTTCGCTTCGACTAAGGGCACTGAGAGAGGAAGGGCAAGTAGGTGTAAAAGCGGCCGTACGAGACCCACAGAGGAATGAGGAGCGTAGTTAAACGAGAAAGTCAAAGCCAGCGACAGAGACTGGACACGATGGAAGATTACAAGTGGGAGACAATGACTTACTCCAAGACCACAGGCAAAGTTCCGTTAGGATCTATACCTCCTCCCGCTACATACAAATTCAACTTGCCCACTGAGATACCCATTCCACCAATACCCAAATCGCCGAGTCCGAGGATACGTGATCCATCAGTGACCACGACGATCTGCGGGATGCGCGAGAGAGTGGCAGCGTAAGCCTGGAGGATCTCGGGAAGTCTATCTTTGTCGTCGATGGAGAGATACAGGCCTTCAGGACCGGTGTAGATGTGCGAGTATTTCTGGCATGCTTCTCCTACGGTAGGAGTGTAGACAAGAGGGGCCCTGTGAGGTTCAGCGGGGTTCAGACTGTATACTTATGCCAAGGGATGACGTAGTGAGGTTTAAGGGTGTGTATGGTAGTATAGTCGTGGTAGTATTGCGGTGTAGCGGAGATTGGGATGTAGTGAACATGACGTAGAGAGAAGACGGCGACGGAGATGAAAGTGAAGTTGGAAGACGATAAGGTGGAAGGAGAGGTTGAGGACAGGCCAGAGGGGAGGTGGTGTGCAAAGAATAGACGAGAAGAGTCAAGGATACGGACAACTCACATTTGATTGAGATCATCTTTAAGAGCAGCGAAGAAGAGATCAGGATCTGAACGACGGATACGAGAGAGATGCATGTGTTTGAGAAGAGGGTTTTCTAAAGAGTTGAGATGAGCTTTGAGACGAGCAAGCTGTTGAGCTGGGAGGGGGGATGGGTAAGTAGAGTCTATATATAAGTATGTTTGTCATATTCCTGGGTGTTTGTACCGATGCCCAGTGTCAAGTGTTGCATGTTGCAGCGACAATATGAGTCGGGATGGGGCGACTTGAAAACGGTGTGATTCTGGTGGATTGTGAGTGACGAGCAAGGAAAGTGAATGAAGGGAGACATAATGCTACGGACGTGGAGAAGTAAGGTGAGAGATGACTCACAATGAACAGGTTTGACGACCTTTCCCTCGAATGGGGTCTCTGGAGGTGTAGGTACACCATTAACTAAATCTTGAATAGCCATTTTATTATTATGTCTATAAATATTCTTTGTCTGTGTGAGTGTGGGTGTGGGTGTATGTGAAAGTGAAGAATGTGAATGAAAATGTCTATATCGAACTTGAGAAATCTTTTGGGGATTACGTCTTATATAAGCTGATTTATCATGAAGGAATGAAACTGCGGTGTTTGATAGATTGGGGAAAGAAAGGAAGAAAGATAGGCGGGGTGTGAAATTTCTACAGTCGAAAGATAGATGATATGAGAAATTCGAAATGATTCTATCGTTTATTTCGTTTAAATCGTCAATCCTATAGATGAATCGTGATTGTTTTCGAATGAGTAAAGGTAAAACCCTAGGTGAAAAGGGTTTAACAGATGTCATAATGTGAGGATCTATCTTTACTATATGGTGAGATAGCTGTTGGGGGGAGGGGAAGGAGGAGAACCGGTGGAGGGGAGACCGGTCCGTGCAGCGATGCAAGCCCGGGCACACCCGATAGTATTGTTTCGGGTGGGATCGGATTCGGATTTTGAAGTCATGGTGAATGAGGTGAATCTGTGGGGGGACAAAGGTTCTAGGTCGTGTGATCAGGGTATCAAGGGTGG